TCATCGGAGTGCTAACTTTGTTTTGCAGGTCTCAAGAGTACTCAGGGAAGGTGTGGGATCGTTGGCCGTAGTTCGTCTCGAACGTACCGATCTAAATTGTATCCGAGCTCATCAATTTCGGGCTCAAACAGTCACAAATAGGTTATTTGTTCACATGTGGAGGAACTGTTGTATCACGGCGATCAATGAAACAGACCATAACCGCCACCTCCTCAAATCATGCTGAAATTCTTGCAATACATGAGACTAATCGAGAATGTGTATGGTTAAGATCAATGACTCAGTGCATTTGTGAGACATGTGGCGTTTGTCTTTTAGTAAAACTCTTCGAACAACATTATATGAAGATAATATAGCATGTGCAGCCCAAATCAAATGAGGGATATATTAAAGGACATATAACAAAGCATATTTCACCCGAGCTTTTCTACATTAATGATCTTGAAGAAAATGAAAACATCATTGTGCAACAAATTTGTTCAAAGGATAACTTCACAAACACATTACCTACAACGACCTTTGAAAAATTGGTGCGCGACATTGGAATACGACAACTCAGTAATCTTAAATGATGTTTCCATAAGGGGGAGCAAGATAGATTGTATTATTTTGGATTTGTTAGATTATATTAAATATGTACTTTTTATCCTTCACTAGAATTTTTTCCCATTGGTTTTTTCCTAGTAAGGTTTTAACAAGACATGTTTCATATATACAATGGGCATCCAAGGGGGAGTACTACAAACATTATAAAAAATAGATGCCCAATCTTAGGTATTAAAATTTGCATTTGCTTATTTTCTCATGATAAATGTGCATGTGTCTAATCCCCAAATGCCCATATGTTCAATCTCTAAATGATCCGTGTGTTTGGTAGATACTCAACCTTAGTGTCCATTCCTTTAAACTTCATGGTTTCTCAATTGCCTATAAATAAGAGTAATGTGTAGCTCATTAATAGACACAATTTGGTGGGAAATTGCATTTGAAAATTTTTGTGTATTTCTTTTATAATTTGATATTTTGTTCATTTGCGTTTTCTCCTATTATCCATGTATTCAGTGTGTTTCGTTCTGTTCTTCAATTTAGTGTCAACTCAAATAATCAGAGCACAAAGAGGACTTTTATATGTAAATATTCTACACAATTTTATGTCTTTGCCTAGACTTATCTCTCGAGGACTGGCCACATCTGACAGACTAATAGGAAACATTTAAAAAATAACGTAATTGCTAACATCAGCGGTTCGGATTTTCACATTAAAAAAAGTCTCCAAATCCGTACTCTTATGCTTCCTTTGTAATTAATTATGTGAAAATTTATATCAACACCAACATACCTCAGCAGACACCTCCTCTTTTTTGAGGCCGGACGTTCAAATTCTCACGCCTCAAATTTATTTCACTAAAACAAATTATAAAAATCTAGAATTGATCTTAACAAAATATTATATATTATATATATATATAAAAGCCTAAAAAATTCAACTCAGGCTAATAGGATGTGAGAGGGCATCTAAAATTTTTTATATATGAATATTGTTTACTGTGTAATCTGTCTCATAGGTATGAAAATTTAAAATGAAAGGGTTGATAATACCAAGAAGATTTCATGTCCCATAAGCATCATTCATATTATAATGTTTAAAGAAAATGTTCCATTAGAGCTATTAACCGTAACTAAAGAAATAATTAATCGTTGTTTCTGGCTTTTGTAAATGAAAATTTTAAGTTCTTAATTTAATGAAATTGTTCGTGGAAATATCATGAAATGTCGATGGATGTTTCTGAAAAAAATTATAAAATAAGAAAAACATAACAAATATATAAAATAAGAAATAAGCATTTACATTTTATTCTTTTTAAATAAATTAAAATTTATTGATATTAATATAATGTGTTTATATTGGTGATATTATTTTATATTTGTTATATTTTATCAATTTTAATGTGATATTATAGAAATGTCAATTCATCTCATTTATAGACATATAAAAATATTTATGCGTGGTTGGAAATTTAATAGGATCACACGGACTGAATTAAATGTGTCTTGTCAAAACTAGGGATATTTGTACAAATTAAAATGGATACCGAGTTAAAAATATAATTGACCGTAAATTATATATACTAATCACTAGTTTTGGTACGGATTCCATTTATTCTTCATATCTATATTGAATATTATTTTTCATATTTATATTACATTATTGGATTGTTATTTTTTTAAGATCTAATTATTATTTTTAAATCAAATTTTGGTTTAAATTTCATTCACGGTATTATCCTATTTTGATCCCTAAACTTTTTAAATATCTATTTTAGATCCTAAACTTTAAAAATTAGTTATTTTAATTAATAATCTTCTCAAAATATCTATTTTAGTTTCATTACTTTTGTTTTGTTTTATATCCATAAGTGTCTGGGCAAGGTTATGAGTATTTCGACTAATCTGACGGGCCAACCGTCTGACCCTACAATATTTGGTGTCGGGAAATACATAGAAATTACTAATTCCTAAGGTTAGGTGACCATCATGGATTTAAACTCATTTCCAACCATAATCCCTTTAAACCAATTTACTTTTAAAGATTAATTATTTTGGTCCTTACCATTATTCTCTTATTTAATATCAATTCATCCTATTGCCACCTCGACCAAATCATATGTGTCCAGACCAAATAAATATATTTAAAGTTCAATTCGTTCTACAATTGATGATACAAAAATAACGACAAAAAGTAAAATATCTCTTATAATAAAAGTAAGAACTAAAACAAATATACATTTTGAAAACTCAATAAACAAAAGTAGAAGCTAATAACCGTGAAAATTAGAAACTAAAATAGAGGTTTTAAATTTTGAAAGATCAAAATTGTATAATCTTAATTAAAAGTTTCGTACATAACAATGTCCATAAGAACTTTTGTCAAACGATGGGGAAAAATGAAATTGTATGAGATTGATATTTTCAAGGGCATTAGTGGCCAGCTTTCCAAGTTAAAAGTAAGACAAAACCAGGAATATGCCTTTAAATTTTATTACTTCGATGTTCACTAGGGTTTCTCTAAGCTATAAATAACAATTCCCACTCTCATTTACAGAAAAAATTAGAATCTTAAAGTAGAAAAATAAAAAGTTAGTTCTGTAAATATATTAATTGTTTTAATTAATGTTCTAAAGTTTTGAATTATGAGAGTAAGGTGTTTCCATTTCTTGAAGGAAGGCTTCTTCGTTGTTACAATCATAATCATATTCCATCAGACTTCTTCTCTTGAGGCATCATCGCAATCACCCAATGATCCATTAGGTCAGAATCTATTTTCGTTTTCTTTCTCTTTTTGTTTCTTATTTTGAGGTGTTCATGATTCGAATTATTTGGTTGAGTTAGCAAACTTTATTGGCTCAATTGTACAAATTTAAGTTGAAATTTTGTTCAATTCAAACATCATACATCTAATTTAATGAAAGACTTAGGTTGGTTTGATTTGAGTAAATTATCTTAGATTTTTTTTTTAAATAATGAAGTAATTAGTTTGCTACACATTTGGTTTTTTGTATATTCAAGCATTGAATTTAATTTTTTAACTCAAATGCATTTCTCATCTTATTTGAAGTTCATATTGAGAAGAAGTTATTCTCCAAAGACTTAGAAAATCTATCCTATATATAAAATGGGCAACTTATCCCTATTTTATCCCTTTAATTTAAATATTTTCATATTTAGTTTTTGGATAATTTTGCCCTTCAATGTAAATTTTTATCTCTCATGCATTCCTTCTCTTGGTCTCCCACGCTACTTCCCAATTTTATTATTATTTTTATTTCTTTCAAAATATTTTATTTTCATCCTTACCGTTCAATTTTCTCAGGTTAATTTTCTCTCTCTAAAAAACTCTTCGAACGTTAGAATACAAATAGTTAAAATATGTATAGTTTCACGTCTTTGTTTCTATAAATTAATTTAAAAAATTATAATTTATTTTTAATTATAATTAATAAGAAATTTTAAAAGTTTCCTAACTTTTTATTTTCAACAATTATATAGAGTGTTTTTGTTACTCTTTATCGCAACTTTTTCTTTATCAAAATTGGAGCTTGTTTTCTTTTTCAATATGTTTTTCTCCTTTGTCTTGTATTTTCCTATATTTTAGGTAGATTGTTTGATTAAACATTTAACTTTTTTAATTATTTTTTTCCCAATGTAATGTTGATAATTGTAATTTTAAAGAATAATTTATTACCTACAATATATAAGTAATTTATTCAAAAAGCTTAAGAGATGACTAGTTGCTGTTTTTTTCTTTTTGTTATTTTCTTTTTCAATGATTCAAATAAAAATCAAAACAAAGTTTTATTTTCTTTTATACATGGTCATGTTTAGGAAAACAAAAGATGAAAAAAATCATGAATATGTGTTTTTTGTTTTAGAAAAAATAGAAGTAATTTAAGTAAAAAGAATTAATTAATTTTTATATTTTTAAACATTAGAACTATGAAATTTTACGTGCACAACACGTTTTTCTTTCTAGTTATATTAAAATGGTAGTAGGATGATAAAAATATAAAAGGAATTGTTTCAATAAAATAGAATTATAAAACCCATAAAAAAAAAAAAAACTTTAGTCTCATAAATTTATAATTCAAATTTTTAAATCTGGGATAAATAAAACGGAGGCAATTACGCCGCCTCTTTCCTTCTTCACTATCATGTCAGAGGAGATTTGTCGTAGGTCAAAATACAAAGGGGAGGGCAAAAGGAAGAATAATAATAAATAAATAAAAACAAACCTCGTTTCATAACCTAAGGTATATCATATCATATCTATACCTCAGATATATTATTGGTGTATATATTAAGACTCATAATCTAATCTCTTTTTCAATGTATATTAAGTCAGTTTTTTTCAATGATTTGGTTGGTTGATTTGAAACATATATATAATTGAGTTATGCTTCGATTGGTATTAAGTCGTTTGAATTGGGTTTACAGGCAATTGCATGCTGGATTTCACAACATATCAATACGAACCCACAGGCGTGTGCACAAGCGCAGACGACGACCGAATAAACTTATGGGACGCGTTCTACGCCACCCGCTGCTGCCGCAACGCCCTCAACGCCATCTCCAAGGCCATGGCGCTCTACGTGAACCAAACCAACCCCAATAACCTATTCCTCACGCAGCAGATGTGGGCCAACTGCAGCAACCCCTTCCCCCTCCAGCCCACCATCTCCCTCCAGGGCTGCGCCCTCCAGAACCTCTTCGCCGGGAGCAGCCGTTGCTCCACCGACCTCTTCATGCCCACTCTCCTGCAGATGAAGCAATACCAGGTTGCCCTCGACGACTGCTCCGGCTTCCGCATCGCTGGAGGGTTCGATCAGGTCTGTGGCAGCTGCATCGAAGCCGTGGCCGCGCTCAGAGGGGCTCTCATGGATGGCTTTGGCATACGAGAAGAAAATGGGAATGAAAACGCCGCCTGTGGGTTCGCCGCCGTCGTCTCCGTCGCGGCCGGGAAGATTGGGAACCGCTCGGATTTTGATAGCTTCTTCCAATGCCTGCCTGCCTTGGACAATTTGAGTAAGCTACTTTGTCACAATTTTTTTTTTAATTTAGGTTCTTGCTAGTAAGTCGTCCCTGTTAGTTATTAAATAAATCACATGGAATTATAGAGATAAACGTGGGAAGGAAGAGAGAGAAAATAAAATAAATAATGAGTAATTTTATCTTTTTTTAAAATAATATAAAACTTAATGAGTATGTTTTCTTATCAAGTTTTACATTACCCTTCAACTTGAGTTTGATTTGGATTATAATATTTTTATAATATTATAAACTTTGTATTGTATTTTAAAAAATATTTTTTATTTTATTTTATACTATTTATGAAAATGTTACTTTTTCTAATCTTGTTTTTTCCTGAAATGTGTTTTATATAATTTCCGATTTAAATCATACCCGTTATTATCAAGTTTAATTTATTTTAGTCTCTTAATTTTTAAATGATATATTTTAATATTTTAAACTGAATTTCATGGTAGTTCTTGAATTTTTAAAATATCTATTTTATTGATATTTTTATTTTAAAAATCGATCATTTTGGTCCTCAATTATATTTTATCCTTAACTATTTAATTAACAATGAACAGCATAATTATTTTCAAAAGGATAAAAAAAAACTAACAACATAATTTCAAATATATGTATTATCTCACATTAACGCGCACATGTACCGAAGTCACGCAGCTTGGATGAGGTCTCTGGGGTTGGGCAAATATTAGATGCAAAAAAAATAGCAATGCCTAAATTCGTATCTTTTTTTCAAAGTGCAAGACTAAATTATACATTTTGAAATTTGAAGGAATACAATAGTTGATTTATTCCAAGAAAAAAAACGAAAAAAAAACACTAGTTACGGATTTAAATTACCAAAATTTAAAAAAGGAAAAACAAGAATTTTAAAAGAATATAATATAACAATCTCATCTATTTGACTCATTCTTAAAATTTTGTTTACATTTTGATATATACAAGGGAATGCTTTTAAATAGTTTCATAAATACAGAGCTCCCTGTTCTAATCTTCATGTTTTTTTCCCTTGGCTTCTTGCAGGATCCGGCTACTTGAAAATTAGAGGTAAGGAGTTGGCATTATTCTTTACCATTAAATTATAAGCTAAAATCAAAAGATAAAAATATCAACAATAATAAATTAGCATTTCATCCCTAAGATTTTAAAACTTCATCTTAATCTCAATATTTTGAGATTTGTTATTCACTAATATACATATATTCTCTCAATATATTCTCTCAATATTTCAATTTGATTCTTGTGATTTAATTCAATTTTATAAATTTATTACGGACTATTTATTACCTACCTAAAACCCGCAACTTTTCCACTTTTCTTAATTAATCCTAAACCCTAATATCCTAAACTAACACCATCAGACAAATATAGAACCATTTCATTTCCTTTAACTATGTAAATAAAAAAAATAAACATGCAGTAATGTACTCAATCGGGCAATAATAAGGGCAATTAGGGAAGTTTGATTAAATCATAAGCATATTATGTTATAACTTTTAAAATAATCAAAAAAATCAAATTGAAACTAATTTAAAAAAACAAAAATCATAGGACTTGAATTGAAATTTGTAAAACCATACAAACGTTAAAAAGAATAAGTCATCACCTTTTCTTCTTTTACTGAGTCCAAATTAATTTGTTCCAACTCCTCAAATAATTTCCCGGTTCGACAGATTCAGTAGCAAAGGCCTTAGTGGCTGCAGTAGCCGGAGTGCTGGTTCTGCTCCTCATCATCCTCCTAGTAAAGCACGCGAGCAAGAAGAAGAAGATGGCCAAGCCGTGCGCCTCAAACGACACGTCGACCTGGTCGGGGCTGTACCGGTTTGCCAAGGAGGAGATCGAGAGGGCGATGAACTTCGGGAGCGAGAAGACGAGCCTGGGGCGGGGCAGCGCCGGGCAGGTGTACAAGGGAATTCTGCCGAGCGGGCAGCTGGTGGCGATAAAGAAGATATTTCAGAGCAATACTTCGGATTCATTCATAAGAGAAGTTGAAGGGCTGTCTAGGGTTCGCCATCCAAATCTGGTGTGCCTCTTGGGATGCTGCATTGATAATGGGGAGCAATATCTTGTGTATGAGTATTGCGAGCAAGGCAACCTGGCTCAGCATCTCTTGAGTAAATATTACCTCTCTTCTCTTTTCTCTTGTCAAAAAATTAACTTTTTTGGTTCATACATTTTTATTCTAAACTTTCAATTTATTCTATGCACAAATATTGCAATCTATATATATGTTTACGCCTTTGGATAAGGTTTTGTTATAGAAATTGTTTAAAAATATATATTCTCGATCAATTAACAGGAATCTAATATTTATAAAATATGTTTGATAAGACTTCGAAGAAAAGATATTATTTCAGGAGATTGAGGTGTTTTTGAAGAGATTTATTTAATGATTGATTTAAATGATGATTGATTTTTTGGGAGAGCCGTATGACATAGAACTTGATGACATTTCAAAGAAGAGCAAGATTTTAATTGAAATTTTGGTGTTTTGGGGAGATTTGTTTAATGGTTGAATTTGTGCCATCATCGGACTAAATTTTGTGTAAGCCTTCATTTTTTTTTTTTTGGTTGAAACTAGTGAGGTCTAAAGAGATTTTTAAGTTGCTTTTATGATGAAATTAATGGGTTAATTAATGTAGTGGACCTCGAATGTAAGAGAAAAAAAACTAGAACATTTATCTATGTTTATGGTCTAATTTGATGAAATTGTAAGTTCAAGGTAAAAACGATTAACCTTCGATTTCATGAGTAAAACTTTTTTTTTCTCTCTTTTTTTTTTTTATACTATAAGTTTCTTATGTCAAAGTAAAATTACGAACCTGTTAAACTGTACATTTTAAAAATATTATGTGGATATTTTCAGGAAAAGACACAGTGCTAACATGGGAATTAAGAGTGCAGATTTTGAGAGACTGTGCCCTTGCACTGAGGTATCTCCATCAATATGTAGATGGCTGCATAGTCCATAGAGATATTAAGGTATCACATCTTAATCTCATTTATATAATAATTTCTCTTCATGTTTCAAATCTTACAAAAAAATTTAAAGTAAAAAATTATGTTTATGAGTAACATGTTTACTTTTTTAGAAGTAGCTAGAAATTTTTTTAAGGGAAAAAAAAAGAAGTCAAAACACTATCAAACGTGTCCAAAATAATTATCAAGGAGCGAATAACAACATTGCTTCAACTTTTTATTTTTAAGGTATATTTATTAAATGAAGTATTTACGTAAATAGCATAAAATAAATGCGTAAAATAGAGCATAAAATTTTAAAAATTTTACAAAATAGCATATATAAATGTAATGTAAAACGTAATTATAAAAAAAAAGTAAAATTTATGCTATAGTACTTGAGAAAAGTGAAAAGTTGTCTCATTTTTTAAAATACCTATTAAATTTATGATATATCTTATAATAAATGATTAAATTTACCATAATTCATCGGTTAAACTTCTCATAAATGAGTAAATTTACACTAACCTATCAATTTAAGTTGTTTTATTAATTGGTGATTTAATCATGTTTAAAATAGTATCATTGTCGGAAGTTGGATATCTTGTGTTCAAACTCATTTCTGTTTATTATTTGTATGGTTTACAAATTTACCAACAATGTTTTTTTTTCCCTTCTTTACATTGGCAGCTAACAAACATACTTTTGACTGAGAAATTGGAGCCGAAATTGTCGGATTTTGGGTTGGCAAGGATGTTGGGAATGGATGAGACAAAAGTTTTCACAGATGTTAGAGGGACAATTGGGTATATGGATCCTGAATACATGAGCAATGCCAAGCTCACTTGTGCAAGTGACATTTATAGTTTTGGCATTGTGGCTCTTCAGCTCTTATCAGGTCAAAAGGTCATTGATTTGGATCTTGATGCAAGAGATCAATTGACAAGAAAGGTATACATATAATTAACCACAATCCATTTATATACCCTACCTTTCAGTAATTATCATTCTCGAAATTCTTTTAGGGTTTTTGTTCTAATCTAAATACGAGATGGAACCATTTTACAATATGTTTCTTGTTTAGGTAGAAAACTTTTTTAAACTTATCAACATGACGTAATAATAGATTCTAGAAATAACCGTACCAAATTGTTGATTTATTAATTTCTATCACTATTAATTTAAGAGAAAAAAGTCTTAAATATGTGAATTTTTCTGAGAGGAGGTTGTGTTGATTTGCTTTGCCCTACGACTTGTAAGGTCGTTTTGCAAAAGGGAATTGATCATGATTGATAAGCTTTAAATTGATTCATTAGGAAGTCTCGACGTATACCTAAGTGATAACACAACCGCCATTTTTGACACGAGGAAAGAAAGAAAACCAAACCAATCCGAACCTGCCTAGTTACACACCGAATTCGAGAATGGATATATATTGATAGCGAATATATTTTAATGTGTAGTAGTAACTAAAAAGTTTGGGTGATTATATTGAAAAATACAGGCCAAAGACGTAAACATGGGGTTGAGACCACTAAGTGATTTTGAAGATCCAAGGCTGAAAGGAAACATAAACAAAGCAGACTTCGAATCCATTTTACAAGTGGCTGTTCTTTGTGTGGCTAAGTCAAGCAAAGGCCGACCCACAATCGACATTGTCTTCGAGGAAATGGACAAAGCATGCCACAATACACATGCCAACTCGGTAATTTCATCTCTTTATGAAATATTTGCAATATAGCCTCATTTTATGAAATATTAGCCCTGTGGTTTTTTTCCCTTTAAAAATTATAATTATAATATTATTTTTCTAAACTCACTAGTTTTTTTTGTGCCTTAACCAATTAAACTATGCTCCAATATAATCAAAATATAATAATTTAAAAAAAATATATTAAAATTTTTGACTAAACAGATAATTCTATTGTGTGTGTATATACAGTATTACTTTTTTCATATAATCACCCAGAGATTTTAATTGAAATAATAAAAATAATCACCAAATTCATGTATGTATTCTACTTTTAGCACATTTTTCATATATATATATATATATATTTTAATGTTTGAACCCTAATTACATTAAATTTTTATCTAAGATTACTCATAATCCTTAGCTTAAGACTAGATTAACCCTAGAATTTTGCTGTTATTACGTTTTGGATCGCAGAGGGCAAAGCAACAGATGAACTCGCCAGCAACCTCATTGTCTAGGCCATGGGAGGTGATTCCAGTTTGACGACTGAATAAGCTTCTTCTACAATTAGGGTTTTAAATTACATCCATGAAAGGAAAAAAAAAAATCTGGTTTTCCACAAGTTGTTAGTTTTGCTGGTTTTCTACAATTGTTTATTTTGTGCCGATTTTTTTAATAATATAAAAAGATATAACTAACTATTAAAATATAATAATTTGCAAACTATTTTTAAAAATATTGTTGTTTTAATGGAAGAGAGAACTTTGTCCAACACATAGGAGATGATCTCTTCAAGAAACGACCTCCATACGTGACTTTATTATTATTATTTTTTTCTGAAAAAAAAAACTAACCCCTATGTCGTTTCTCCAAGAGACAATTTATACCAATTTTAAATTTCTATTGATTTTAAATAACATATCTTTTTGTTGGGTTTGTAAAATAGTGCAAACAAAATCTCACATTAGTTAGAGAAAAGAGTAATCTATGATCCATGGTATATAACAAAAAAAAACAAGTTGGCTACATAAGGACATGTAGTACCACGTATGGAGGTTCTCTCGAGACACCCTATCGGCGGCAATTGAAACAAACAATATTTCTAAAAATAATTTGTAAATTGTTATATTTTAATAATTAATTATATTTTTTAATATTAAAAAATCCCACAAAAGTTTGTATATTATTCATAATATATATATTATATACATATAGAAATCCTAGTTACGTACTTTTTTTTTTCTTTTGAACGGTTTCTATTTATGAGCTTAAGGATATATATGTATAAAAGGAATATATTGATATGAAGGAAAGATCCTCTTTTCATAGGTGAATTTTTAACTTTCTTGTTAGCTCAAATGAGAGGTGGAGAGTTTAGATCTATATAACGTCTAGAAACGATTTATGATGTTACAATTAATTTAACTATGTTTTGGTGGGTGAAAAAAATTTTAAATTTACTTTCTTTGCTTTAAAGCTTTCGAGGGATAATTTGTTAGGGGAAAGAAAGTTATTAACCAACCTTGTTGAAATTAATTTAACATAATAATTAGTTTGTGTGTCACAGAAAATTAAAGAGTCGAAATATTTGAGCTATTATTAAAGAAGATGCGAGTAGATTTATTCTTGAATGGATGTTAATATGCCGATCAAGTAATTCTATTTCACTCTATGGATCTTCCTTTTATTTGATAGATATTAAATTCATTAACAATTATATATGCCTCGATTAGTTGCTAAAGTCAGCATTCACAATTATTTCTTGAATAGAAAGGTTAAATATTTTTGAATCCTTATTTACTAATCCCTAATTAAAATTCAAAAATGTGCTAAAGTCAACACAGCAATTTGCTTATCAATACATTCCACCCCCGGTCCATCAGATGAAAAATGCTCGTTAATAAAGGTCTTACCAGAACAATCTATAGAGATCTTTTTGCACTAGTCTACATGTCACTTCCGAATCAGTTTCAACTACTAACTTCTTACATCCCAAATTTCAAGCTATCTCCAAACCCGTTAGAGCCGGTAACGTTCCTATTTTTTGTTTATCCTTTCTAATTTTCTTAATAAATATAAGCATTTTGCAATTAACTATGTTTCTTATTTCTCTTTTTTTTTGAAACATTCTCAAAATTCTATAGAAAGTTTCGAAACAACCAAAACAAGTTTCTTCTTCTTGTTCCCATTTCCAATTTTTGTCCAAAATATAAATAAAAACATTATTTTTCATACTTGAATTCATATATGTTGAGACCATACCATTCATTTTTCTTTATTAAAATGAAGAAACAGGACAAGAAATAGAAACGTTACCAAACGAAACGAACCTTTAGTATCCCCAAATTTCAACAATGATTGCTACTGTATACCCAGACTTTGCTGAAAACCATAAATCCGCTTCCCATCCGAATTTCTTATAATACCCCCCCCGCCCCTCCTAGCCCCGGGTTGCCATGTGATGATCCGTCAGTATATAATTTCAAAAACCCAGATGGTGGAGGAGACCACCCAATGTAAACCAACTTTCTTGCTGGCTTCTTTGAGAGAGGCACCATCGTTTTCCAAACTTGCATAAAATTTTCCGTTGTTCTTCGGACCATAAACACAGGGTTTTCTGGGCGTTCTGAACTTGCTGCTAAAATTTCCTTTTCCTCCACGACCATAACAATCAACAACAAACCGCAAATAATGCGGGCCAGCTGGAAGAAGGTGGGTCTTCCAAATTCAATAATATCCACTACTGCAAATCATAGTTGAAAAATTGATTAACTAAATTAGGAGGCACAATATCATGCCAAACCTATTGGGATTTAATGCAGTCTCTAAGCGCGTGTAAAATTGATTCTGTAACTTGTGGGCACTGGGAGCAAGCATCCGATGTACAAACATGGTGCCTCAGTCTCTCCAGATTAGTGAGACGCCTACCATGCCCCACTAACCACAGGAAATATCTAATTCGATTCGGCCCTCCCCAATTCCATATTGCCTTCCATAGGTAATTTATCTGAGGGTATTGGCCTAGAGATATACGATTTTTGTAAGTAACCGCCACTGAATAATTCCCATTCTTTGAGTCAATCCAAATAGGATAGTCAGCCATATTGGTTGAACTAGGCGGTGATTTTATACTCGCAATATGTAGTATCTGTTGGGATAAACACTTAATTTTATGGACCTATTATCCCCTCCTAATAGGAAATAACAACTAAAAATAATAATTCAAACAAGCACAGGACACAAGTAATTTTAACGTGGAAAAATCCCATCAATGTGAGCAGTGAAAAACCATGGACCGAAGTCAAAATCTCCACTATAATCAATAATGGGCTACACCAAGTTCTCCCTAACAACAACTAGAGGAATACAATAATAATATCTGGAGACAATAAATCTTGGCAAACAAGAGAATAAATCGGACAAGAAAATTAGAAAGATCTCACTTAGAAAGTGGCACCAACTATCCACTGTATCTGACTGTATGCAACTCCAAAAGAAATCTCCATTGTCCAGATTGAAGACCCTCGTGTTGTGAACACGGTATCAAAATTTCACCTCGATCGGACCACAGATCGACCTCCAATCGTGCAAAAATGCTACTGTACGAAATGAGTTTCTTTTCTCTTTTTCTTTTCTGTTTTTCCTCCTCGATCTGCGTGAAAAACTCTCCATAAGGGAGTTATTCTAGTGTTTATTTAGGTGATTTTATGCAAATAATTGTTAAAGTGTATCGGTTTTGGTATGCAATTAGCATAGAAAAGATTAGAAAATGGAATCCGAGCTAAAAGCCCCAGGTCTTGAATGTTGTAGCTAAATAATGCACTAAATGCCCTCATTTCTGGTGTAAATGCACAGGTTTGGAAGTAGAAAAATAAACACTAAGGGATTGTTAAATCCAGAAAAGAGTGACCAAGACATTTCAAGGCAGAGCAGACAAAAGCTGGAGCGAATAAGCAAAGCTGGAGCATGGATTCACTGTGCAGTAACAACCCAGACACGAGAATTACAATGTCGTGCAAATTTCAGCTAGGTGCCCTAAAAATGGGACTCAATATAAAAGGGGCATGTTGCCCTAGCCGCCACACACATATCCCAAGAGAGACAAAAATTGAGAGCTCAAAAGACTAGAGGAGGGAATATCTCCATTTTAGGGGGCGAGAACTGACGACAGAAAGAGGAGGCTCACCTACTTCGACGAGCTTTTTGCTTCTTATTCTCTGCTTATTTTTGCTGCTTCCCTGAAATGAGTTGTATTCTCCTTTCTTCTATTTTGTTTTCTTCGCCCATGTTGAGCTAAACCGTATCTTAGGGGAGATTTATATGCTCTAACTAACTTGATACTGAACCTCTAGTTGCTGAATCTATTTTTAAATAAAGATGTTTTGTATTTCTTCATTCTTGCGTGACATTGTTGGTCAGTCTGTCATGTTTGCTAGCTTCTGTATTGACCCGAGAGGGCTTATAGGTGTTGATTTGCTTTATTTGTGATTAGCGCTTTTCTATAGCTTTAGGGATACTCAGAAATGGGATCCTCTAATCTTGCCTAGAGCTTGCGTTTATTGCTTGGGTATTTAGCAACGAAAGTTGTATTTACTAATGTTTGGGGTGTCTTGGAAGGGAACCGAGTCGAACTGGGCATTAATAGATGTTAGGAAGCTAGAGGGTAGGTAGATAACCTGTGAAAGTATGTCGAATCTCCCCCACTTTTCCATACTCATTAACTTCCCCTTTCGCATTTTGTGTCGTTGCTTCGTCTTATATCAAGTCTATGAAATTTGTCTGTTGTTAAGATTTGTTTACTGCTTTGTTTATTATATTTTTTTAGTTAGGACACAACACTCATATTTCTTTGTTTTTACACATTTGGTATCTGCAAACATCGTTTAAAATATTATCCAAAGTCCCTGTGGATTCGACCTCATTTCGTACTACAATCGGCAATTTCGTGTATACTTGTACGTGTTGTCAGCAAGGTTGTGTGGACGCAACAGTCATCTTATGAAATAGCAATCTATTAATTAACGGCGTTACATCTAAGGATTGGCTGTTTCGTGGTTCGGTCATATACAAACTCATTGTATAGATATCCTCATTCGTATGTCTCCACACGAACGACTTGGATCGAGTCGTCTATAACATTTGCAAAGTGGGCCGTAACCATAATATTGCCAGGATAAAGTACCCAGCCTTATCCATATAGTATAGACCCTTTAGGTTATTCCCGGGACATTATCCATTTATATATCGAGGGTATATCAAATATATACCCTGTATATATACTGTCCCGGTTACATGACAATAACTTTGGATATTTAGTTTATTGGGTTTAGACAATGCATTGCTATGAATTCAACAACAAATTGACTGAAAAAAACTTTATTGAATATAAATTTATTTTTAAATAAATACAAAATACGAGTTTAGGACAACACACCTAACAGACTTTCGATTATCTAAATCTCCTGACATATATGAATCAGTGTAATCGGCAAGCACTAACTTTCCCCAAAAGTGAGCTTCAAATTGGA